AATTGTTTATCTAGGTGATGTAAATGAAGCGTAATACATTTTATCTGAAATTTAATTTCCCATACTCCCTTCCCCTTATCTTTTTGAACATGACCTGGAAAACATTCATGTGTCGTTTTGCATGATTGTTTCAATTTAGTTTATTTGCTTATCAGTCTTTTATCTCCCAATGTATTTCCAATAAGATAAACATCGCTGTATGTAGAGTATTCAGCTGAAGAGTTCTATCGAAATTTGATGAATTCATTAAATCCTGCTTTATTAACTTATGTTGTTTGTTTTCATTCCTTTGTTTTATCACCGGAATGTCCACAAATAACGTGAACAGATTATTTATATGTATTTCGCCTCACTACTGAAAACTGTTCAGTAATATAGTTGCACGTACAGTCATAGACGACCTTGGTAAATTAATTTGCACACACTACGAAATACTTATTCTGATATGAAGAATAAGAATTTGTATTCATCCTAATGCAACAGATTGGGTACTATGCAATGCACCAACCTCTTGAAATCTATTCTCTATTTTTATTTTTCGTCGATTCTGTGAACTACTTCACTCTATGCAGTACGGAAAGATATTAATAGAATACCTCAAACGCAACGTCTGAGAAGTGATATAAGTTTCTTCAAGACAAGCACGAAACTTAGGTCCAAGGCTTCCTGACAACTGCCGCCAGACATCCAAGAAAAACTGAGGTATTTGTGATAACTCTTTAAACAGATAGAATTTTGACTTGAGTTCGTTACTCATTCCAGAGTATGTTTTTGTTAAGACACCCTTCAGTTTAGCAAAAAACATTTTTAATGCATCACAACTTGATTTCTACAGGGTTTTGTGTTGACTTTATGAGTAGGAATAATTTAAGACAATTGTTTCCATTAAATGCCTTTCTTCGCTGCATAGTTATAAGTCTATGAGAACAGCTGCAATACAGTAGTCAGTGTAAAGCACCCAGTAGAATAACTTAAAGGTTCTAACAATGAGCTTTACATGTGCAGGGAGATGAAATCATGGTGGGATATTTATGTCAGTTGTCGATCACGTGATAAAATTAGTAAAAACAGAACAGTTACGACATAGGAATTCAAATCTGGAGATAATGATTGGTTTATATGCAAAAATGTAAATATACGTGTACTGTGTATTTGTTTATCTTAGAGTGAATAGACAGTTTATATGATTATGATTTAAATAGCAGATAAGGTTATAATTATTACCGACTATCAAATAGAATCTCTAGTTTCATTTTAACGAAAATCCAATGTTTACGTCGTTAGTTTTTACCTCAGAAACATTCAGCTATGAAATCACTCGATGTTTTCGTAACATCATTCGTTGAAACAAAATGTCAGTAAAATCATGCAGTATTGAAAGATTGAGTAATAACACTTTTTGCCCAAAAACAACGCAAAGCAATTTTGTTAGATCTCAGGATTTTGATCATCTCATCTCATATCAGTAGAGCAGGTGTAGCTAACTGTCTAAATTACTAAGTAAATTGTCTTATCAGTATGGCAACACCTTTAGACAGAGACATAAAACATCGAAATGCACACAGAATCCCTCTTTTTTGTTCCTTGAGTTATAAATGGAACACAGAGCTTCAAGCTTTGAAGTTTCAACGGCCGTCATGTATTTTCACGGAGTGGGGTTGCTAGCTTCAAACTCAACCTTTCCTCTTTTCCAGCCTTATTATCAGCCATTAAACTAGGCAAAGTTTATTTCAAACTCTGAAAATATCGGCTTTTAAGATTACAACATTTCTTAAATGTAAACTCCGTCCGTTTAAGGATTTCATGGACCAAACTAAACAGACCAGCTTAATCTGTTAAATACCCTGCAGTGAATTTAAGGTCAAGTGAAGCCAATCGACTTCAGTCGGTTGGGTTATCAAAGTATCATAAACTATTAACATAATCCCTCTCAAGGAAACTTCAGCCATTACTATGCATACAGTGACGCCCACACAATGGGATGATTTAACTGAACAGTTCTAAAATACGATACATTTTCTTGGTAGACAGAAAGGTTGGTCAGTAGATCTTTATTCATTGAATTAAGACCCAACACGTTCAATAGGAATGATGCAGGTATCAATGGAACAATACATCTGTTAACCCCATTAAACTACTTCTAGAATCTTAATAAACAGAAGCTGTTTACAAAGTGTAATGTACGTCCGTTTAAGACGATAACGGTATCAAACACTGTAGATTTCTTCCAAAAGAAATTCCGGACGATAATCGAGGAATTATCAAAACCATACATTGAGTGACGCGTCAAGTTCAAAAACACAGGATTTGTCTAAAATATGGTACTATATTAAACATAAAATATGAAATATAGTATACAAACCTCAATTGTGAGGTGACTGTGACTGAATGCCGTCAAAAAACACAGTCAATTTGCGTCAATAAGTAAAAATAGCAGAGCTGTGTCAAAGGCGATCCACGTGTTATTTAAACAGCGCGCGAATGCTGGACACGGAATAAGGGGATACTAGTAAAGTGTTCAACAGTGGCAGGTACATGAGTAAAACAAAATACAGCAAATAATATTCGATTATAAGAAAATAATTACTGTACATCAAATAGAGCGTAAATACATTGAGTGAGTTAAGCCTCAGTGGCAAACAAAGTCATGTTTAAGAAGTAAAGTATAGTTCATTCTACTTACTAATGGTAAGTAGCATACAGTTGAATGCAAGAGAAAGAATAGCAGAGAACAGCTAAGAAAGGAATTAAAAAACACACCCGTCTTAGACTATCTCATCAAGAACTACACACAGTGTTAGCAACACTTCTTTCTACTACTGAATGTGAAAGCAGGGACGTACTTAGTATAAAATATGTAGCAAAATCACTGCATAAGTTAACCGGCTTCTATCAAAGATATAATACTGTTATGGTAAGAGAAATATTGATACACGTTTAAGAAAGCTATATGTAATCGAATGTTCTAAAAGGAGACCTCATCGACTCAGTCAAAGCTCGAAGGACTCCGACCATCACTTCATGGTAGCATAATCCTTCAAAATTCTTTGATAAAGACTTAATATCGGGCCATAGAAGCATGGCACCTACTAGAAACTGGTTTTAGTTCACCCCTGTATTATACACCTTTTAGATTGCTAACTGATTCAGAGAATCTTCAGTCATATAGACAATCTTTGCTATCAATTTATAACTCTCATTTTGACTTATGGTAATTACGATAAACATACTCAACTGGGAAACAACATTAAGAACTTTGGATCGGTTTTCAGGGTTTTAAAATACCTCGGTTTTAAATGGAAAAAACTGTTTCTCTTCAGAAAGAAAAACAAAATCATGATATCAGGACACCAGTTGATGTGATTATTTTTCGACTACTCACATCCGTAAGTAGCATACATTTTTTCACATTTTTATTCGTTTTCTTGATATTATTTTTAGTGTCAAAAAGGTGACAAATTGTAATGGGAATGTCTGCCGTTTCCCGAGAAATTTCCTCCTCTAATCGTGAACACTGTGAATCACTACTTGCATAGGAAGCAGAAAACATAAATTTAGCTTTTTTGTAGTGACTGACTGGGTTCCAGCGTAGAACTTTCCGCAGAAGTACAACAGTTCAAGTTGCCAAACACCATAGTACACATAGGCAGAGAAAAGTACGAAGAGATTCAGAAGAAATATAACGAACAGAAATTTGCTGAATAACGAGTAGTAGCATGGAAAATCATGAGGATATAATGAATCTGTGCAATTGCGAAGAGTGAATACATCTACACCACTGACAACAGTTTTCATCTAAATCACCAACAGCCTCAAGCCATTCGTTCTTAGCATCTCGAGGATCCCAACCAGGCAGTCTACACCTCCCTATATGACTCAAACCAACTGTCAAAGACTTCATTGATTTGTGTCATGTTCTGGTTTGACCAACCCCAAATCTTTTCCAACCTCATCTTATGTCATATAACATTGCTCAATTGTAGATCAGCATGCATAGCATATGTTCTAGTTTTCTCAACCAATGTAGGTTCAAAACTACATCGACTGACTCGCCCTCCTCACCTAACCTCGACATGAATTGAAGTATCATACAACTTAACACCGCAGGTATAACGCAGACAGTTAGCCTTTTCAGACCTCCCACTTTCGTTACTTATATCTCACAACCATAAAGAAGGATAGTACGAACTACTGAGCAATACACATCCTTTGATCGATAACCAGACATTATGTCTTCTCCAGATGTGACGTAAGGTGACCTTGTGTCCGTGCTGAGATTTCGTCAGCTACCAATCAGCTGGAGCTGATTCAACTTCCCAAATAAGTGAAACAGTCACCATACTCTACTACTTCATTCTGTATCTAAAGGCTAGGAGTCGGTGTAGTCCAGTCCTGCAGCATCATCTTACATTTGACAGGATCGAATCGCATGCCAAACACTCAGAAGTTGCTACTCAAGGTGTTCAGAAGACTCTGCATTTCGTCAGTGTTTTCACCTAAAACAACGATATCATCCGCGTAAGTTGATGAGACTGTCTACTGGTAACAAGTCAGTCCCTAAATGATAGTTATGTCTAACTATGAATTGCGTAAAGCTAATCAGAAACTAACTTTTAAAGCCTGATCAAGCTAATAACTGCGATTATTGGTCTATTAATTCATGTATCCTTAAGCCTGATAAGTGAAATACTGCATATACCCGTTGTGAAGTTTCAACAGACATAACAACTCAATCACCAGCTTCCTAGACAACACCTTCTAAACATTAAGCAAAATTCTTACCAATCTATAACGCTTATACATACTTTCTACTTAAACAATGCAATGTAATATTCATTAACTCCTACATTTGAATATCGATCATACCTGAAAGGAAGATAAGCTCAGGTTCGTCATAAGTCAAGTCTGGATAATACGACTGTATAATTCATCTGAATGAAAATCACTTTACAAAAATAAATTTGATAATTAAATAAATAAGCTTTATAAATCTGTTCTGTACATAAGATGGATAAAATTGCAAAAAAATAACACATTCAGCTTAAATATGGTCGCCAAACATTTTGTTCACTAATAATCTGTCGAATATTTTCTTTTTGATCATCAGTAACACTACCCCATTGGTTTGAAACTAGATCATGATCATCAATGAATTTAGGGCATTTGGGTTCAAAAATAAATCGATCATTGATTCTACACGATAAATTCTGTTGACTGGTGGAATTGTAATCATTCTTATCTTCAACTTTGAATATATTTTGATTTTTCATTTGTGACCAACGATATTTTAATGGTAATCGAAAGGTATGAGGTTTGGAGGATTTATTACATAGAAAATCAGCTTTCTTATTAATTGGTTGAATACAGCAAGAAAATGACTCTGAAGTATTCATCTTAAGGGGACTTCTTAGTCTCGTATCCATCTTTGTACAAAAGTCTGAACTTTCAATTGAGTGTTCATATGAAGTATTGGATGGATTTTGGTTCAACTCTTTTATTTGTGAAGGAATGATACTGGTTGCAAGAGGATAAACCAATTGATTTTCTTGACGTTCAGCTTTGTAATCAGATCTCGTTGATGAAATTGGACTGTTGAACTGTAGGCTAACTGTATCTGAAGACGATGGACTGTTTCTTGAATCCTTCGTCTCAAGACAACTTGAGGTTAATTTATGCAAACGGGACAGTAGTTCTGAAAAGTTGTCAGGGAAAGAGTGAAAAAATTAATCTCCAGTTGGATCGGTAACATAGGAAGCAAAAAATTTCAGTTATTTTACGTATTAGTACAATTTTTGTATCTATCAATACAGCTTAATCGGTAAATTTGGTTACTATTTTGATTTATCATTACTCAATAACAGTTTCTAGGTCTTAACCTTTGGATTACTTTAACTAACAATATTCAGGCGGAGTGTACTCTTAACTGTTCAATTGAACTGAATTAGTGTGTGTGCGAACCTTCCATTTTAGTAAAGCAATGCTACTTATTTGCATTCCATGATTATGTAGGCTTTTTTTTAAAATTCAATTACTTTTGAAATTTTGAGTTTTGTAGGGATTTCGATTAACTCCAATATACATATCCTCAAGAAAAGATATCAGTAAGACAATCATTGAAAGAGCAAGTGACAGCAATTTCGCCTTAGCTTAATTATTTCCATCAGTAAGTACCCATGGCCAGACCAAAGGTCAAATTCTAGATTATTATCATTACTATTACATTGGGTTCTGACCAGTCCCCACTTTGTCCTGTTTAGCTGAATCTACGATTATCCATAGGCCACATCGTAAATCTAACCCATGGCTTACAAGTTACAAGTCAGACACCTTTACCTTTCAGCCACTTCGTTAAATAATCCATGACTTTCAACTTCTGACAACTATAAAACATAGAGTCATTTATGTGGAACAGAATTCTTTATATTAAACTAAGTTAAAAGAAAATGACAATTAAGGCAAATTCAGACATATTCATTAACTTGACACTTTTAGTAAATTGATGGATTAGGTATTCAGAAGGTCCAAAAAACCGGGCATTGGGAGAATAATATTCACTATTGTTAGAGATTTATATTTTCCAATGATTGATAGCTAAAACAAAACAGTTCTTGTTTTATACTCAATAGGAAATATAAATCTCTATTAATAATAGGTCATGTGGTCTTCTTTATCGGTATATACAAGGCTAATCTAAATTTGCGATGAATAGCGCCTCCGGCTTACTTTTGAATGTTTTTTACAAGATGAAAAGAAACGTAGTTGATTAATTGAATGGACATTTGTAAAAACGTGGAACTGAATCCAATCGTCTGTATGAAATAACGAATATGAACATTCGGAGTCAGGCTCACTTTTTCTCCCTTACCACATAGTTAAAATATGTAATGTAACTTACATGACAGTGGTAAGCAAAACTTTGAAGTGGAGGATTTGCGTAGACAGCGCATTTCGGAGAATCTAGAACTGCTGGAAAAATCCACTGGTCTGTGTTGATTTCAACTGTTTTCATAGAAATATCACCTACAGATGCTGAGAAAGTCAGCATCTGTAGGTGATATTTCTATGGGCAAGATGAAAACAGTTGAAATCAACACAAACTAGTGGATTTTTCCAGCAGTTCTAGATTCTCCGAAATGCGCTGTCTACGCAAATCCCCCCATTTCAAAGTTTGGCGTAAATGCACGAAATGACAGCTTAAACAATATTCAATATCCAATGTTGTGTAATGGACTTCAACATACAATACCCTGTACACCGTCTACTGCAAGCCACATTATCTCTTTGGGCTGACTCCATGGTTTGAGTTGGAAACCTCTGTTCTTTGTTAAGCTTCAATGAACATTTCCCACCACCCACCCAACTTAAATTAGCTTGATTCCATAGGAAGTGGTGCGAGGATAACGGATCTGACGCTGAAATTATGAGCTCTTATGTCGAGGTTTTGACAGAATAATGGCGTTTCCCTCGAACAATCATCATCCAGCTACATTGCCTCTCTTCTCCTAGAGGGAACGATAGAATATATTAGCTCCAAAAAGTATACACACTGACTTAACTTGAAGGGGTATATTGTCGTCAGAGAGAACTGAACACCAACAAAACTCTCAAAACCATGTGAAATCCGTCTCACACATTTATTCCCTGCATTCTGGCGTCCCCTAACACTGATGCTCATTCTCCTTCAGATGTTCCAAGAAGAAACCAACCTCCACTGTGGGAGCACTCAGAAATTATTAACCATTCACACAAATCCACACGCACGCGAGGCTCTCCTGATCGCGTTTCGCTTCCCTGTTGCAGTTAATACTAGCTATTCTCAGCTATCTTAGCCACCAAGCTACCAATAGTGGTTCTCTAAACCCTGCGGTCAACTTCATGTTGGGGAATTCAGCGCCTAGGGCTTATTTTGAATCGACCGATCGGCCACACTATTCAACTCGAGGAATGGATGTATATTGTATCTCTAGGTCATTCGCACTTGGCCCAAATCTGCATTTTCACATAACATCGAATTTCGGAAATGGCGAATCCATAAAATGAACACCACATGCGTCACGTGAACTGACTCCATGTGTTTCTTCAGATGACCAGCTTGAGTGGATTCCTTCCCACATATGTCACACCGATATTTTTTACCTGATTATCAATAAGAAAAATGGAAAGTGAAGATAATAATATAGTCATATGGAATCTATTGAGTTAACAGAGAGGAGCATGTTTTGTCATGATAATCCCCTCAATAATATTAGATCAGTAAGACAACTATAGAAGACACATCCTATTCCACTAAACAATAAATTATTTCCGATAACCATGGATAAATTTCGCCTCACTAGAGACAATTTAAATAACAACAAATTAGCCGGAATAAAGTGTGAGAGAAATTAGTGACCACTTTGTGATTATTTCGAAATTCACTCAGTCATCAGAATTCCATTAAAACACATTACCCATGTTTACTCAAAATGATCATTAGGTGGTAACTGGTGTAACTTATATGCTCCCGGAAATCTTTCGAGGAAGTCAGGAATGACGGTATACTTCCGAAATATATACCACAATTGTCTATTGCTACTTCGTATTCAGTTCAGAAATGAAAACTGACTACGAACGCCTAACACCATACTGCTATCAGTCGTCAAGTAATATTAATCTAATTACAACTGTAACGGATTTTTCTTCTATTTATGTCCGGATCTACTCCGAATTTCCAATGCAATTCTCGACAATATCTCGCAGTCATTACTGTTTTGTCGTCTATCAATCTTAGCACAACTAAACATTTCTTCACGCTGTCCAACTGCTTAGCGATATGCTTCGGTACTTGCATATATGTTGTTGACTTAAACAGCTAATTTTGTGACCGCCTTTTTCCTGTTACAGAGTCTATAGTCTAGTCTCACGAAACTTCACACATACACACACACAGTTACATTTGGATGATACTTTGCGATTCCCAAATAATTCGGCCAAGTGAACGATATTCCGAACTGACCTCCTTCGTCACAGACAACGACATAAACACAAGGATAATTATACACACATCGATGCAATTGTACAGACCAGTGAATGATATCGAGCAACAATGTCGCCTAACTGAACTATTTCTCCTTATTTCTAAGTCTAGATGTGTCGTGTGGACGTAAGAATTATTTCGCCTCTTCTTCCTACACTATAACCTTAAGGTTTCATTTTTGCTTGTTCAATGTTACCAACATCCTTAATTTCGAAATGAACATACGGAACATCACACGTGAAAATAAGCCAATGTCACTACATGTTCTCTTTACTTCAAACGAATCTCAAACGGCCTAGACTATTATGAAAAGGCAATCATAAGTCTGATAAATGTAGTGCTTATCCAATTTCCTGCATTTTTACATAAAGATCGATCATTTCATTCTGCTTATTATTCACCATTTTCTGATGAAAGTATTGAAAGATGAAGTGGCTAAACACGCAGCTAATTCGCTACTTTCTATCAGTCATACAGTTCCATAAGCTGTACAAAAATGAGTAAACATATATGGCTACCTATTTTCGCATGTAACTCTCGCATAGAACGTAAGAGGTGTGTGTTGATTCGGTGAATGTAAATACCATGAATCACCCTTTACACAATTACGAAATCAAGACCAATATATTGGTAGCCATGCTCTCCTCCTTACGCCAAACGCACCCCTATTATGTATATGAATGCTGACAACAGGCACACATACCAAGACCATTCATAAATGTTTTATTAAGGTAACTTATCCTCACAAATCGCATTATTCTAAACAAACGTACAACAGATAATAAGTCAGAATAAGCGAACGTCACTACATGTTCATTTCACTCCGAAAGAATCTAAAAGCAGCTAGACTATTTTGAAAATACAATATTAAGTCCGATGATTGTATTGTTTATCTAATTTCCAATCCATCAGTCACAATGGCTTGTAGTCAAACAGCAGTAACTGATTAAATATATTGTCTAACGTGAATACTGGAAATCCTGCCAAAATGAAGTCGCAATGTGTTACCTAGGTCACGGTAGAAGTTTTGCTTTGTCACCTCATACTTTACTCATAGTAAGATTTTGGATGAAGTTGCAAGGTAGCTAATATTCAATTTTCTATGACAATGGACACATGCTAGTAGAGGAGATAGGCAGCAACTGACGAAATTCTACCTTAATAGATGGCATTGATTTCGACTTTCCTCGGGCGTCGGAATTCTACCTCCATTTTCCGTACATTAATTACTACTCGATCCTCGTAGACAGACATGACGGATAATATTGACTTCTCATATAGATGTATTATTCTATACATAGTCGTTTTGATCGTCATAGTTATTCAAGAAAATATGTCACTTCACATTTTGTACCACAATAAAGCACATTTCATTTTACAATAGAACCATTTACTTTTACTGTAAACGACGCCATAATCCATATAGTCCAAAAAAATAAACACCGTAGAGAAAATCTCCAATGAGAAATATGCTGAACACTGTATCATAGCTTGGAGTCTGGCAAAATTCTTAGCTACTCAACACCCTACACCAAAATCAGGATTGTACCTGATTTAACTTCTTGCCAAAGACGTTGCCGCGCAGGTAAACTGAATGAAGACAACCCCAATAAGACAACCGAAGTTAATACTTCCCTCGTTGTATTGCCTTATGACCAAGAGCACCAGACAATATC